AAGGTTTTTTTAAAGTGGTCAAAAAAGGTAATGTGAGATGTTAAAAGGAATGGTGGTTGGAATACCCTTAGCAAACCCATGTAAGTAGAAACAGTGCCTGCATATGACAGTTCTAATACTGATGACGACAATTTTGGTGAACAAATGAGACAAGGTAGAAAGAAATAATGCATTTATCCATTGTGTACCTGCTGGTAGCATCCAGTGAGAGCAGCTCAGGCCCCTTCTCAGCCAACGGAGTACTTGAAGACCCTGAGCCGTCCACACTGGCCAAATGTGTTGAGAGCTGATCCAGGATGATCCAAGAAGAGCTTTTCTGAGATGTTTACCCCGGGAGATGGAGGATGATACTGTATTTATGCATGTGTTTGTTTGTCTGTCTCTGTGGTGGTGGTTTAAACATAGAATTCCAGAAATAAGGGCATGTCTCTTGCATCCTTTGCCAAATTAAGAGAAAAAAAAATGAACCCCAGGTTTTCTTTACCACTGAGCAACACTCCCAGTCCAATTTTTTTGAGACAGTGTGTCACTAAATAACTGAGGGTCTTGCTAAGTTGCTGAGCCTATCCTTGAACTTGTGATCCTCCTGCCACAGCCTCCTGAGTTGCTGGAACTGTGGGCTTCTGCCACTCACTGCACTTGGCAAGAGAAAAATTATGACTGCTACTATTTCAAATAGGAGTTGTGTGACCTCCTTTGCATGTGGAACTTTTCACAATTTGTTTTGGGGTTGTTTTCTTCACTGGTGTTCTCCTTATATTCACTCCAATAAAAATGACCTATTCACCATCATAATCAGGGACCGTTGGAGTATTATTTATCAGCAAATATTTCATCGATAGTGTTAGGTTTTCCTTGATTTTCGCACAAGTAACAATTTTGGCAGCCTACTCCTTTGAGATGAGAGTTCTTGTTGTTCTTCATTATTTAGTTATTCTTTTAAATTTTTTGTTAGTGCATTTTGGCTGTACATAATATTGAGGTTCATTTTGACAAGATTGTATAAGCTTGGAATATATTTTGCTCAAATTCATTCCCCAGAATTTCCCTTTCCCTCCCTTTCCCTGCCCCCTGTTCCCTTTTCTCTATTCTACCAATCTTTCTTCTATTTATTTATGATTTTCTTCTAAGAGTGCCTAGAGATATACACAGAGGTGCAATTCACTGTGGTGTATATTCACATATGTACACAGGATAGTTTGCTCAGTTGTATTCCACCATTCCTCCCTTTCCTGTCCCTCCTCATTCCCCTTCCTCTACTCTACTGAACTCTCTTCTATTTTCATGGGATCCTACCAACATTTTCCCCTTATTTTGGTCTACCTTCTGCATAACAGAGAAAACATTTGAATAAGGGAGAATATATTCGACCGTGGGCTTTCTGCATCTGGCTTTTTTCAATCAGCCTGATGGTCTCTCCTTTTACATCTATTTTCAAGCAAATGCTTTGATTTTATTCTTCTTTTTGGATGAGTAAAATTCCATCATATTTGTGCGTGTTTGTGTGTGTAGATATGTGTTTGTCACATTTTCTTTATCCATTTGTCTGTTGATGGGCACCTGGGCTGCTTTTATTACTTGGCTCTTGTGAATCATGTACTTCTAGGTGTGATAGGTCCGTTGTGTGCAATCTCTGTGGTAGGTCCATTCCTAGCTGTTTGAGGAATCTCCATCCTGTTTTCCAGAGTGGTTGTATTAATTTGCAGTCCCATCAAAACTGTACGAGTGTTCCTTTCCCCCACATTCTTGCCAACACTGATTATTATTTGTGTGGTTGATAATTGCCATTCTGAGTGGAGAGAGATATAATCTCAATGCACGTTAGATTTGCATTTCCCTGGATGCTAGAGATGTTGAACATTTTTTCCTTTATTTGTTGGCCATTTGTATTTCTTCTTTTGAGAAGCGTGTTTAGTTCTTTTGTCCAATAATTAATAGGGTTATTTGGTGTTATGTGTGTTAAGTTTTTTGAGTTCTTCAGATATAATATTCAAATTCTTAATTCCTGTCTTTGGTTCAACTTTTGCAATTTATTAAGTAAGTATATGTAAGAAAGATCTTGAATGTATTATCATAGGTTCTTTTCAACTTGTTTTCATATAAGTGAAATCTCTCTAAGGAGATTCTTTGGATAGTCGTTTCTTAACAATTTAAGAAGGAATGAGCTTTTGATCTCTCTAATGAGAATTCACCAACTTCAGCATTTAAGACTTATTTTGGATCTAAATATTAAGAGTATAATTTTAAACATGGTAAAAGTCAATACTATTTTACAGTATTTAAATATCCCCATTTCTCTTTGTGTTCTCTGCTTGGGGATTGTGGTTTTGCTGTTTCTCCTCTTACCAATTCATTGAGTTTTGAGTGGCACAAAAGCCAGGTCCCTTAGCTTCCAGGCTGAGGGAAACCTATGGGGCCTGTCCTCAATCATAGAATACCCATTGAGAAGTGGCAGCCTGGTCATTGCACAAGTCATATGTGGTCTGGCATGGTCCACCTCATACACTCCTTGGTGGTCCTAGAATTTCAGGGACCACCTGTGCCCTGACATGTGGCACTCTCTCCAAACTGAGCCTGCCTGGGGAGTATCCAGCACCCAGTAATAGCCCAGGGGCTCCAGCTTGGCTGTCAGTGTCAGGTCCACTGAAGCCCTCGTGGGGCAAAGTGGGCAAATGTCCAAGGCTGGTGGGATGACGATAAGACAGGCACCTAACAATAAGTGCTGAACGCCTGCCTCGAACATCTGGTCACTCTTTCCTGTGGCTGTCCTTTGTTCCTGTGCCTACCCTGTTTCCTGCATTCTTGCACCTTAGTTGCCCATGACTTGCCTGCCCTCACACTGCTGCCTCCTCAGGGTCAGTTACTTTGGCCCTAGAAGTGCCCTAGATCCACCTCTGAGAACCACCTCTTTGGGTAATGAGTGGGACCTCTCATAGTCTTCTCTCAGCAGCCCGAGACTTCACCATTTGTCACAGCATGTCAGTGACACACCTGGATCCTTCCAGCCCACCTTCCCTGGAAATTCTGCTTTCTAGATGCTCCTTGGGCCATGCCTGTGATTCTTTGATTAACCATGAAGAAAGCAGCACTGGAGACCTGATGACTCCATCCTTGACACAATATGTCGCTGCAGTCCCTACCCTGTGAGCCCCAGCTCAGTGTCCAGATATATTATTCTCAACCCAGTACCCCCATGAGATCACTGCAAACACTTCAAAAGTTGTTTTTTAAATATTAACTCGTTCCCTTACTTTGTCTTTTCAGTAAAATATTACATGAGACCATGATTGCTCGCTAGTTGCCCCATTTACTTTATCAACCCCTGAAGTGAATTATCAAATGTTCATATTCATTTCCAGTCTTCAACTCCATTGTTCCCTCTCTTCCCAATAATTTACCTATGTCGTTCCCGTTATGCTCCCTGTCTTCAATCCACAGACTCATTTTACTCATGCTAATGGATTTCTGCATTTACCAAGGAAAATCACCCAGAGCAAAAAAAAAATAATTGACTGGATATTATTTCTTTTAAAAAATTTTGTAGTTGTAGAGAGACAGAATGCCTTTATTTGTTTATTTTTTAAAAATATATATATTTTCAATATCTTTTTTTCATTCATTTTTTTATATGTTGCTAAGGAACGAACCCAGTGCCTCACACATGCAACGCAAGATCTCTACCACTGAGCCACAACCCAGTCCCCTATTTGTTTATTTTTATGGCATGATAAATATCAAACCCAGTGTTTCGCACATGCTAGGCATGTGTTCTACCACTGAGCTACAGGCCCAGCCCTGGATATTATTTCTTAGCATTCTTCTTTACAAAGAAAAATATGAACTCAGTATGCATGAAACAACTTGGAATAATGTTTCTAATGAAAACCATTGGCATTTTGAAGCAGTACCCACTACCATGATGAATTTATGGCTTATGAAAATGAGTATGTTCTTATGGGTCTACAGGAAAAGGCATATGGCTCCTTTGGCATCCAAAGTTTTATTCTAGCTGTGTAGAACCATCCATGAGTTACTGGCAGTTGATTTCACAGTAGTTTTCTTTAGTCGCCTTGTGCAGCAAGCCCTTTTGCAAACCTTGTCATGAGTTGGTTCCAATTTCCAGAGCAATATTGAGTACTAATTCTGATGAGAGGACTTATTCATAATATATTGGAAGACACTAGCATGAATATTAACACTGAAATAAATGATGTGAGAAAAAAGGAGTAATCCTAGTCTTCTTGATGATTCACCTTCCTCTTCTTCATTTGATGAAAGGGATAAGAAACGTGTCCCTCTCAGAGCTCTGGATTTGTATTTTCAAATCATCACTTTTAAAACAAGCAAGCCAACAGTCCTTGGCAACAAAAGGAATCACAACGTGTCTCTCCTCCAAACCCAAGATGAATTTCACACAGAGGATCTTACTGCATTAGCCCGGCAACCTATCCACACTGTGAGCCTATGCCTGGGACTCAGACGCTTCAGGCCTCTGACTTAGCCAGCCTAAACACAGACTTGGGCTGTGGTCCCATCATCCATGCATAATTGCACAGCATGAAGGGTTTTGGCTTAAAACTTAGAAAACTCTCAAAGAGTTAGATTATTAATTTCAGGCTCTGGAGAGTTGGAAAAATGAATTACTTCTTGAAATTTTGGCTTCACTCCTTGTGCACTGTAGCTTCATTACTATAGTTAGTGAATGTTAAAATCTTTGACTGAGATGAGTCTGATCATATATTTTCTGCCATATCACACAAAAAGTACCTCTGGATAAGTCTGACACACGCTTCTTGGAGAATAAGAGTGAAAAATGTCAATTCCTTCCTTACAAAAATGAGGTGACCTGATTTAACCTTAGGAAGGGTGACCTAGGAATATACCTGTCAGAAATCACCATTAAAGGAAATGATTAACTGCAGAACCATGAAAAGAAACCTGCTGTGTTCCTTGGAGTAACCACACATGTATTAGAGGTGGCAATTTTTTCATTTATTAAATAATCCTTGGAGATGGGCAGGGCACCCTCTTGCCCACCCCGAGACATGAGCTGTGCAGTACTGACAGCACTACAGGTATTTTGGGCCCAGTGATGGCTCTGAAAAGAGCCTTTGGGGTTGGCTGCTGAGGGCGCCCAGAGTCGGCTCACTGGCGGGGATGTGAGCGGCTGAGGGCCCTGGTGGCCTCGTACACGGCGTGCTTGAAGATCTCCCCGGGCAGCAGGAGGCCCACGGCCACCTGGATGTCTCTGGAGGTGATGGTGGAGCGATGGTTCTGGCCGGCCAGGCTGCCGGCCTCGTTGGTGATGCGCTGGAACATGTCCTTGACAAAGGAGTCCAGGACGCTCACGGTCGACCGGGAGAGGATGAGGCCTGAATGAATGTGCTTCAGCACCTTGGGGAAATAGATGGCCAAAATGTCCCTGTGCTTGGAGTGGCTGAAGCGCCTCGGATTCTTCACCTTCTTCACCTTCTGCGGGGTGGTCGGGCTGGCATCCTGAGGCTCTTGGGGATTGAGGGACTCCTCAGAAGACTGGTCACAAGCTTGTTCAGCCATCTCCTTGGCACCTTCGGACACCGAGGGAGGACACGTCACCCCCTTCTTCAGTCACCGCCCTGGTTCCTTCCAACACTGGGGGAGGACACATGTCACAAACTTCTTCAGCCACCGCCTTGGCAACTTCTGACACTGGGGGCGGACACATGTCACAAACTTCTTCAGCTACTGCCTTGGCACCTTCGGACACAGGGGGAGGACCCACGTCACCCCCTTCTTCAGCCACTGCCCTGGTACTTTCAGACACTGGGGGAGGACACATGTCACCCCCTTCTTTAGCCATAGCCTTGGCATCTTTCAACACTTGGGGAGGGCACATGTCACCCGCTTCTTTAGCCATCGTCTTGGGACCTTCTGACACTGGGGCAGGAGACATGTCCCCAGCTTCTTTAGGCATTGCCTTGGCACCTTCCGACATTAGGGCAGGAGACCCGTCACAGTCTTTTGCCACCATCGCCTTGGCACCTTCTGACACTGGGGGAGGACACCTGTCACAAGCTTCTTCAGCCATCGCCTCGGCACTTTCCAACCCTGGGGCAGGAGAAGTGTCACAGGCTGGTTCAGCCATCACCTCGGCACCTTCTGACACTTGGAGAGGACAATTAACAATGCCAGTTGCCAGGGGCCATTTGTCGCGTCACAGGCCAACTCGACGTCTCATTGGATGGCCCACAACCCATGGACCCTGTCAGTATGGGACGTGGAACAATGTGATTCGACCATCCTCTTGAGTGGCATCCTCCCGACCAATGGGAGTGGATGGTTGATGGTCCTCCTGCTTGACCAATCACAGGGAATGTCTGTCCTTCCAGAACCCAACTGTTGCCTCTACCAGAGCCTTAGGAAGGTGACACAGGGGGCAAACGGTCATCAGACCATATCTGGTGACTCCTGGCACACTACGAGCACTTTGAAAAGACGGTTACCGAAGAAATGAGAGAGTCTATCGCCAATATCCCTAGTCTCAGAGATGTGCCCATAGGGTACGTCTGGGCTATTGCTTTGTCACAGCAGAAAATATCTTTGTCCTGAGAGGAGCCACTCTGGCTTGAGCAGCAGTTCCCTGACCGGGCCAGCTGAGTGTTCCTGGAAGCCAAGGGGCCTGACTGTCCCTCTCATGCCTCTCGTTCCCATCAAACCCTCAGTGAACTGGGAAAAGGAGAAATGACAAAACCCCAGTTTCCAAACGGTGAACACGAAGAGAAGAAGGCTATGTGTACATATGTACAAGTTCCTTCGGCATTTCCCAAGTCCAAATTGTGTTATAATTTATTTATTTATTTTTAAATTTTTGGTACCACAAATTGAACTCAGGGGCACTTAACCATTGAACCACACTCACAGTCTTTTTATTTTTTATTTTGAGACAGGGTTTCCCTAAGTTACTTAGAGTCTTGGGAAATTGCTGAGGCCTTCCTTGAACCTGTGATCCTCCTGCCTCACCCTACAGAGCAGCTGGGATTAAAGGCCTTCACCATGCCCGACCCAAATTGTGTTTTTAAGATCTTTAACTGTAAAACAACACAACACAACAACAACAACAACAACTACAAATACCTCCACATACTATCATTGGTGAAGAAAGATAAAGATTCTTGACTGAAATTCAATATGATACCATTTCTGTAATAAACCATCAGAGGGAGAGAAAGCTAGTTTAATCTCAGTAACTTGAGTCTATTATTCACCACTACAGTTTCACTACCTACCTGCTCCAGTTCTGAAGCATGTCTATATCTGCCTCACAATTACCTAGACAGCATTCTGGCATATGTAATCCAAGTCCCTTTTCCCTATGAAGAAATGTTAGGCCAGTTTGGTCCATTATTCCTTCGAATCAAAACTTTAAAAAAAAAAAATTTCCTAGAATAACCCACGCTGGTTTGAGCTTGAATTCCCTGACATGGCCAGCAGAGTGCTCCTGGAAGTAGAGACTTGGCTGCATACCCTCTGTCTTCAGATTTGACCAAAACTCTCAGAGAATCAGTAAAAGTAGAAATAGCAAAACCACAGTCTCCAAACCCAGAACACAAACAGATATTGGTACACATACATAAATATTAATATTTTCTTAAATATCTACCAAGTATAAAATGTTTTTTTTCTTAACAACACTTGGATTCTAAAAGTATTCTGAATCTGATATGGGAGAATGAGAGCAGTTCAGGCAACTACTGTTAACCTAATTTCTCTAAGAAACTTCCTTAGGGAGAGAAAGGGAATAAAGTGAATGGAAAACGGTTTTAAATTGAAAGATATTCTTCAAGAATCCATGATAATACATTTAAAACCATTTCTTAAATAGATGGAAGTAAAACATAGATCACAGAAATTGAACCAAAGAAGGAGTCAAGGATTAAGTAGACTTGAAGAATTAGAGATCCCTCATGAGATGTCACACCAAATGGCCAGGATTCCCACAGTGTTTCCTTGTCAGACCTGTAAGAATCGAATAATAATTCTAGAATATGAAGGGATGAAAACCTTTTTCTCTTTCTAAACATACAATGTGATGAGAAAGAAGCATGGTAAGAAATTCTGAGCAGTTCATTTTTAAGCAAGGATACAAAAATGTTTCTTGAAATATCAACCATCAAATATTGTACCATGTAACATTAAAGAAAACAAAATAAAGGAATAGATTACTGCCATAAATAGCAATTAGAAGGATCAAACTGAAGAAAATATTATTACTACATTCCACCTTTTTTCAACATAATCCCTATTATAAAATTCATTTAAATATATAACTAATGACATGATCACTGAGAAGAAATAGCTAAATGAGGAAATTAAGCGAAATGAGGATATGTCTTATTAGTAGAGCACCTGTCTAGCTTGCATGAGTCCCTGGGTTTGAATCCCAGACTACACAAGGAAAAGTTAGAAAGACAAAGAAAAGAAAAAAAATGAGTAAGTACTCTTTTCAAGCTTTCTCAAGCTGAGGAAGCTATTCTACCTCATTTAGACTTATCTGACTCTATTATTGTCCTGTTGTGTTTATCAGTTCTCCATCACTATAACAAAACTCTTCAGGTAAACAAGTCATAAGGGGGAAAGGTTTATTTTTGGTCAAGCTTTCTGATTTTTCAGTCCATGCTCACTTGGCCCTATTGTCTTTGCCCTGTGGTGATGCTCTATACAGGTCAGGAGCACAAGGGAAAAAATTTGTTCATCTCCTAAAGGTCAGGGATTGAGAAAGAGAGAGACACACTAAGAGGCAGGAGCTAGGTTACACTATCTCCTTCAAGTGCATGCCCTCAATGATCTAACTTTCTTGCACAAGGTCCCACTTCCTTCAGGCTCCATTCCCTCCATATCACACAACAGGCTGGCGACTAAGCCTTAAACACATGGGCCTTCGTGGGCCTGTGTTAGTCGGTTTTCTGTTACTGTGACAAAGTACCCGATAAATGAATTTAAAGGAGGAAAGGTTTATTTTGGCTCATGGTTCCAGTGGTTTCAGTTTATAGTCTCTGGTTCCATAGCTTTGGGTCTGAGGTGAGCCAGAACATTGTGGCAGAAAGTCGTGTCAGAACAGAGCTTATTGCCTCAGGGTGAATGGGAAGGAGAGAGAGGGGGAGGCATTTATAGAGAAGATACCCTTTTCAGGGGAATGCCCCTAGTGACCTAC